GTTAATGCACATATTATATTATATTATATTATATTATATTATACTATACTATACTATACTATACTATACTATACACTGTATTATAATAAATATATTATACCATGCAATGTATAGCTTTTGCTAGGGACTTTATTGTGTACAGTTTTATGGCTAATTACAGTTGCAGCATATTCTAATCTGTATTATTCTATGCAACATATATAACTTTCATTTTTTAGTGTATTGCATTATGTGCAGTTTTACAGCTCTAAGGACTTTTGCAGCAAAAGTGAAGCAAAAAATTCCATGTGAAAATATTGTTACTCCCAAATGACAGTTTGAACAGAAAAAAATATCCCTTGATTCGGTTTACTGAGGAGATTTAATTCATTTTTAGACTTTGTATGCCATAAAGAGTCAAAGAAAGAAGACAGACATAGTGAGATATGAAATTTACTGCGTGAGACATACATGCATTGAATGTTGAAAGATCAGCATGTTCAAATAAATTAAGGAGGATTATTTGCAGGGTCACCGTGTTCTGCCGAGTATTGCTGCCGCATGTTCGGTTTTCATGCTCATTATTAGTGTACATTTCCAAGGCTTTTGGATGATTAAGAAATCCTAGCGCTTTTATTGAAAATCCTGTTGTTTCGGAGAGCGTGTGGATTAGTGTTTCCCATTTTTTGTGCGGTTGTAATACATTTCAAACAGTATGGGCTGCTCTTTGCAACCTGGGACTAAGCTGTCTGCTCTGATTATGCAGTGAATGCTTTTTCAGAGGGATTTGTGTGGTGGTGAATTGCTCAGTGATATAACTCGGTAAGCAAATCTCTGTTTGATGGCCCCAGTACCACTTACTTTTAAATGCTAATGAGGGGTAATTAAGACACCGAGAATGGCCTAATCACAAGTGCTCTAGTGCGTCTGCTCATTTGTTCAGTTTACACATACACCTGCCGCTTATGAAGTGCTCTTGTCTTGTTTCTCCTTAGTAGATGCACTGTTCAAACTACCACAGTGTCAATGGAGCCTTGCAGGCAAGGCTAACTTGACACGCTCGAGTGCCAGTGAAATACAGAGGGACACACCTCCACCTGCAGACAGTGCTTATATAATGCGGCTGTGATTGACAGCGAGAGTATCGGCCAATGGGTGAGTAGAGCCAGCTGGACCAGAAATTTGTTTACACATTGGAGGGGTGGTGCTTAATTCAACCTGGCTTCACCCTTTGCTGGAAAATAAGTGTCAAGTTAGGCCTATCCAGGCAAACTCTTAAAGTACACTCCCTCACAGGTATGCATGAATGAACTCAAGACCTGGGCCGCATTGTTCTGCAGCATAAAAGACAAATTACGGTAATGTTACGCCAATTCTTTCTCTGAGCTCCAACTCTCTTGGCTATAGCTGCTTTTCTGTGATTGAAATCAGAGGGAGGACAGTCCATGGTCTTGCACCTTGAATCTTATACTTTACAGAGTCGTGTTTGCACCTGGTATTGAAATCTGTCTCGGGTCATTTGATCGCAAGTGCACATCTGTTGCTGTTTATACATCTTGCATGTTCCACATATACTTTCAAATTTGAATCTTGCCACATGTGGTGTTTTGAGTAGAACGATTTGCATTATCTTAAAGGAACAGTTCACCCAAAAATGAAAATTCTGTCATCATTTCCTTAATCTTTCTTTGCTCTGCATAACACAAAAGATGATGTTTAAATAATGTTTCAGCTTTTTTTGTTTGTTTATACAGGGTCAAAAAGTTTCAAGCTCCAAAAAGGAGTTCAGTGGTTTAGTTTAAGTCTTTGACTTTTTGTAATATGAACAGGGCAACATTTTCAACCTAGACTCATTGGAAAAATGTGCCTCTACCTTAAATGAACACTAGAGGCAGTAAAACACTGTTATTCCTTTTCACACTTATTATTAATACAGGGACAGAATATTGATTAATAAAGATTATTCTTGCATGGTTCTGAACGTAAAAGGCATTTTCCCATAGTGTATGATTTGTAAACTAATAAATTTTTACATTTGCATCACATAACCTGATTCATATGTACTGTATGGCTTTTCTGACATAGTAAACTTGCTCAGTAGCTCACCTGGTATACTGCATTGCATTTGCGATCGGAGGAGTGGATGGGTACGAGTCCCCTGAAACACAAGTCACGATAAAAGAGCTCAAAGACTTGTAAAAACACAATAAAATGCCATTTTTGCTTCAATAAATGCATTTTTATCTCACATTTGCTTTTGTTAACATTATTGTCTAGGTTTAGGGTAGGGTTTATTAGGGTTAGACATTTCACCTGAAGATCCAGTTATGACATTTTGATTAAAAATTATGAGGTAAAAAAAAAAAGTAACATGCATGGATGAATTGTTAACAGTAAGAAAATAGATAGGGTGACTTTCATTTCATTTCATTTCAGTTCAGTTCAAATGCTTGTTTCAGTGCACTGGTTGATTGGCAGGTGAGTAGGCGGTCCTTCACTGCTCCCCAGGATGCTTCAGAATGGATTAGCGTTTACACTACAAATGCGATGTAGTCACATGTGTTTTCGACTACCTCTGAATGTGATGTGAGAGATCCGATTTACACCTGTATTTATCTCTGTTCACTTGTGATCGGATGCTAGTACCAGTGTAAAAGGAGTCTACAGAAGTTCAACGTCCTTTTGTAGTGTCAAATTCTCACAGTAGGGAGAGAGTATGAGCTGGGGAGAGGGAGGCAAAGAATGGGAGGGGAACGGTATCGATTGAGCAATGCTGTTTCCAGACCTTTATAGCCCTTTTCTTTCATCTCTCAGCTCTATTCATTTGCTCTCCCTCCATGGGCGCAGTACACTTCCCCAACCTGCTTTTGTACTCTGGCGCACAAGAGCTTTTTTTGATATCGAGATGTAAAACATTCCTTTCTCCAATGAGTGGATGTCAGCGTGCAGGCTGCTCGTCTTCCTCTAGACTCCCCTTGACGGCTTTATGTATAGCCTGAAGTGAAACTTTTTATTTTTTAGCCTAACAATGCGATGAACTTGAACGTGC